ACAGGGCCCAAATCTGCCACCAGTACCATTGCTGTGCAAAACCATGTCATCTTGCTTTCCCAGCCTCTGAAATGAGGGTGTCTGGAAATGGAGAGGAGAACACAGAAAACAAGAAAAGCAGCATGTTGTCAGATTCTACTTTTCAAGTTATCCAGAGAAGTAAGAAACAATGTCAACCCGATTTCCAGAATGAGATAAAAATAAACCAAAGGGTTTATTTTTAGATGTACCAAGCTATCCAATAACAGTTCAGCTTTACGGGATGTATGAATAGGATCCAAGTTCTGATTTTGGTCATAGCGCTGGAAATTTTCCTTTGGCTTCAAAGATAACTAGCGGTTTCACCAAAGTAATTTGATCAGAATTTGACCATAGGTCTATTGTTCCTTGATGTGATGCACTTGTAAGTTTTAGTGGAAAAATAATGATTAAAAAAAAAACAAATAGAAGCAACATGCTGCTCTACCTCACAGTTTCTTTGAGGTTTAAATGATTTTAAGTGTTTTGAGAATGAACAGTGCTCTACGTATGCTAAGCATTATTATGCATTATATAAATACATAATATCAGGCATGCTATTTTCATCTTTGCCCACAGCACGATAATGACGTATCTGCAGTGGGATGAAATGCAACACTATATTTAATAAAGGTTATGGATTTTGTTTGTATTTCATGTTGTTAGGTGCTATGCTGCTTCTGATATCTAGGTCACTGTTCAAATCTATCAGGGGTTAACCATGGCCAGTTGTTCCTATCTGGCACCTGATATGCCTCTGCTGCTACAGAAAAAGTTGTTCCCCTCTGTAAATCATGAGCTTAATTTAAAGCCAGTGACAATGCTCTGTGATGGTGCCGGTGCTTACAGGGATGGAAGAAAATGCCAGTCTTTATTCTGGGATATTCAAAACTCAGCTACGCAGTGTTGGTGATAGTGATGTAAAATGAACTAAGGACATATAGCTGAAGTACTGTAAAGTCCAGCACCTTTTAGGAGCACTAAAAAGCTAAATAGAATATCTGAGAATAAGTTTAGTAAGCTAATGGTTTACTTGAGAGAATTATTTCATTTTTTACACAGACCCGATGTGATTGCGATGAAGTGTGGGATAGAAGATCTCACTGGGGTACCAAAACGTTTTCCAGTATGGTTTGCAAATCCATCTTTGACAATGCCAAAGTTTATTTCTGTTGCAAAACTGAAATATATATACAAATTTTTCAGGTTAGATTTGTGTTATAAGCCTAACTTTTGGCACCTCTTGTCTATTGCTCATATTTGCCCCACAGAAGTACATTGAAAATGCACTGGAAGAAATCTTGAGGCCTCCTGGTCAGTTTTTACTGAGTTTTTACTAGAAAGAGAACTTGCAATAGTTCAAATCCTGATGGATAAAAACCAGCTGAGCCCACACCCTTCCTTCTGATTTCCATAGCAGTTGTTGCTGAGTAAGAACTGGATGCATCTGCTGCTCCTGCATCAGGACTGCTGACATGAACATGTAGGAGGAAGATCAAGCTGCAGCAAGGACGGACTTCAGGAGCTGGTTCATTCTTCTTTCACACGAATGGGAGTGTCACAGCGTGCTTTCCTGTCTAATCAGTCTCAACACAACCTTGCACAACTCAGCCTGCTTTAAGCTTTTAACCAGGGTGTAGGAGTTCAGAAAAAAAAAAACCACACCTCCCTTCCCCCAAGAAAAATGTAATTGCAAAGATTTGTTTTGATGTAGCATGTACAGTAAACTTGAATCAACAAAAGTGAACCACACATTTGTGCAAGTATTTTTTCCTTCCCTAATTTTCATTCCTAGTTAGCTATTCATTTTATTTACCTTCTAGAGAAAACACACTAGAGACAGGATCTGACTC